GGCTCGTTTCGCATGGGAACTCGAGTGGTACGTGATGCAAGCGGTATGGCCTCCGTTGCATTCGGTTCCCTTCGTGATCGATCAACTGTGACTCGGCCCATCAGGCGACCACCTCTATTCTCTTTGTGAACGTCATCACCTCCACCACTGTATCCAGCGCTGGATTTAATCAGCTGTGGTGTTCCTGAAACTCAACAGAATGATGGCAAACCAACATTCATGTGTAGACTTAGAAAGCAGAACATTAGAAATGACCACAACTAGAAGCAAAAAGGAAAACGAAAGTGGAAACAATCACTACTTCGACTGTTCCAGTGTTTTTCGTCTCCGCTTTCCTCAGTTGGTGTGCATTCTCCACTCGAAGGTTCACAGGATTCATCAAACTCTTCTTCCACTATACTGCCACGTAGCGAAGATCGATCACTATCTTCAAAACAGATAAATGAACAAAGGAAAAACCGAATGCCATTGTGAAAAGATCATCTAGATTTGAATCGTGCACATGGGGTTGCGCCATTTAGCGCTTTCCTAACGGTACAAAAGGTTATGAGGTACATCGTCGTAATTCTTGTGCCACTAGAGGTGTTAACATAGCCTTCGGGTGTTGGAGCAATTTCAATGAATAATTTGGTGGTACACAAAATTTGCGGTTACTTATCTCATATGAGTGAGTTAGGAGATTATGAGGGTCTCTTGGTCCCTCATGGGACAACATGTGCTGCGGTTGAGTCAACCTACGCCGAAAAATTAAGTAGGCACACTGTAACGAACTAACCATTTCTATTTCTTCCTCGGTCACTTCGCAACCCAGGAGGTATTCTCAGAATACCTCGCATGGAAAAACTCGAGTGGGGACCGTCTCCATGGGGGAGATCCTTGTGCGCTGAGCCATTGTGTAGAGTTTCGCCCCTGAAAAATTTTTTAAGTGACTTTTTAAGCTTACAAAAGATTGCCAGGAAGCTGTACTCGCTAATGCATTCGCCGATCAGTTGATTTGGAAAGGATTCAAAAATAGCTCCACCACTCACCTTTCTTGATAATTCGTAGAATGGTCGTCTTTTTCTTCACCATGCTTAGCGTTATATTCTGATTCCACCTCTCGGCTCCAGTCAAACGAACCAATTGATTCAAAAGACTGACACAACTGCATATACGACAAGGAGGGAGATGGAGGTGCATCACCGGCGACACTTCTCGTCTCAACATTCGTGTCGATATGGAGTCTATCCTGAAGCAGCAGCTTGGAATATTATCCAAATCACTTGAGCAATCCCTTCCGTATACCCTGATCCACACATCATCCATTGTTTTGAAACAAATTAACATCCAATTGCAAAAATGTTATCCCAACCCCCGACCAATGATCGAATTAGTGAAAGATGCAGTCGTCTACAAATGACTGCGCGTTGTAGCAGTGCGCTACGCGGAAAATCAAACAGAACAGTGTCATAACATACCGATGTCTGCGGTAGGCATTCGCTTTGAGTGCTGTTAATAGAATCGTTTCTTCGCCGATTACCAACATTTCGCCGCTGTCCCCCTTCGGCTCGCATTGATGACCGCTCGTTCTTATTTATCTGAGCCTGAAAAGTGCCTTTTCTTCATTAACATGGAGTCTTAACTCCTTAATGCCGACGAGTCGTAAATCCTTAGATGCGTACGACAAAATCGGATCTTAACATTGTTCTGTATAAATATTGATACAGGAGCCTCGCACAGCGGTAGCCGAATTGTTTATTCAAACAACGGAAATCCCAATGAAACATACCGTGCGCTTAAATCGAACCGGTGACGGTGCTCTGCCAATGTCGGCTTTCGCGCCACGTCCTCGACTGGTGAAGTTTGATCGATAATTGAGATACCCTTCTGGTTGTTGCGGATCATATAAGGATTGTGTAGAGAGTCTAAAAAAAATTACGAAAATGAAACATGTGGCGATATCAACGGTCTCGTGACTTACATAAGAATATCTTGGACTGGGAACTCTGTCATTGACCGCTTCGCGCTTTCCCTGCAACGAGCAAATAAAAATAATGCAAACTAAAAATCCTACTATATATAATCGGCTAAGCGGTTGTGCGTGTGTGTGTCTGTGTGTGTGTGTATGTGTTTGTCTGTCTGACCGGAAATTCATAGCTCGGGCACCAGTGGTCGTCAGGAGTTGGTTTCAAGATATGATATAGGGGGTGGGACGGGAACATATTTGGTGGGGTAAAGAAAGTGATCACAACTGATAAGGGCTGATAAAAGGCGCTAGAACGCAAGTGTCGCGAAATTCATAGCTCGGGCACCAGTGGTCGTCAGGAGTTGGTTTCAAGATATGATATAGGGGGTGGGACGGGAACATATTTGGTGGGGTACAAGAAAGTGATACAACTGATAAGGGCTGATAAAAGGCGCTAGAACGCAAGTGTCGCGAAATTCATAGTGCGCTTCGCAGCAGTCGTCAGGAGCTGATTTTGGGACATGATATAGGGGGTGGGACGCAAACATATTGGTGGGGGGGTCACCAAGTGATAACGACTGATGACGACTGATATAACGACATGCGTACGAACGTAGAGCACTTGAAATAGAGAATAGAGAGCAGATTGTAGATAATGCCTTTCATTTCAATATCATTTCATCAGCGTTGTAATTGTAAACTCAAGCACCTTTCGACCGCTACACCTTCTAGAGTTCTTGAGGATGAATGGGATGCTCGAATAAATATGATAATGAATACTGGGCATTCCGTTTTGAGATATTCGACCGCTAAATTACCTCGATACTCGACGCATAGTGGTTGTTTACATCATCACTTTAGCTGTGCACTTCACTGCGCTTATCAAACAGTGAGATACAGCCAAGATGGGCAGCCTATGCAACGGACAGTAATACATTTAACGAAGCAGCTATAATTTAGCGGTGAAACCTAAAGCTTCATCGATTGTCAGTTCTATCAATGCGCGCGGTAGCGGGCGGAGCTAAACTGGTTATTCAATAATCTGCTTATACAGCTCGCAGTATATGAGTCACACGCAAAATTTTCGAACCATGATAGTTCAAGACTTTCTAAATTCATGTATATCAATGAAAACGTAGCAATTTACCTGGCCTGATGGTGCGCGATAATTTGGCCGGCTATCGCGTACGCCTCTTTTACTGCTTGACGATGGACTTGTGAAGTCGCTATGATTAGAATGGTATGCTTGTCTGAAAAAAAAAACAACATATGCAAAGAAAATTATCTCATAGCTACAGAATATTTATACGAATCTATATCAAATTCAACCAGCCAATCTTCCACGAAAGAGTAAGATTCATTAATTTTTTCCATTTTCCTCATAGGTTTTAACCTACGAGACAAGGAAAAAAAATTTCGCGGCGCTCTGTTATAATCAAACCAATCAGTTTCTGAGAATAAGCTCAATTGGAGACTTTGTAATCAATACATTAAAAGCAGGAGAAACCAATTCGAGCCCCAGAAGCGCCTTGGTTAATGTTATGCGCAAAAATAAGTTGACGTGATAGTTGCACAGAATTTGTAACAATTCATAAAGTACAAAAACTTACTTATTACTAGAATAACTTCCACCTCGCGTATAAGTCCGCGTTCCGGACACTCTTCCAAAACTGTCTCTTCGATCATTGCACGTCGACGCCGCATCGGGCGTTGTGCTCCCGGAATCACCACAATCTATTAATAGAAACGATTTGTTCAATAATAGCGAACGAATTCAATAAAGCTCTTGAAGCTCAGCTGCAAATTATACTGTGAAAGCAAAAACAGATTCTGTGAAAAATATAAAGTGGAAATTAAAATGTATAACTGAACCGATGAATCAAAAAGACAAATTTCGAATATAGTGGAAAGACTCCAGTTTTTTTTCGGACGAAAAAAATCACCAATGGATCTTTTGAAAAACAAGTTTTGTCACTGAGTTGCAAAATGACCATCGAAAAATATTACGAGGCTTTGGCACCAGTATTAATATACACCACAGTTTTTGAAAGTTAGGGTGATGATCATCAAACGAACTCACAAGAATGGACAGATTCCGTATCGTTACTACGTCTTCTGTTAGTACTTTCAAAAGCCCTTGCTGAAAAAGGGAAATAAAGTGAAAAGAACATAAGTTATAGCGATAATAACGGTGTGGAAGCTCATGAGACAGGAGGAATTCAAAAAAAAAATCTGAAGCAACATACAAAATTCACCTCCTCCGCGACTATTTTCTAGGGAAATTCGGGAAGGACGTTTTTGCCTCGGCGGTTCGCTGGGAGGTTTAGAATCGTTCGGTGGAGGGCCACTCGCTGTGACATCCGTTCCTTTTCGCATCATACCTGGAACATAAAGAAATGGGGCAAAAAAAATAACTGCACTGATAGTGACCAAACTGCGCACGAATTTTAGCCAGGTTAAGGCGCAGAAGAACACTACTTCAGCTCCTCTGCTGCGAGGTACTGAAGCGTAGACTAGCTACTTTAAAAGCACCCACAATCAAGTCGGGAGGAAAATGTTTTGTGTCACTCTGTTGGAGTAGGACTCAAGTTGAATGAACCTTCTTAGCCCGGTAAAAATGGAAATTTGTTTTCTATGAAACGGCACTGGAAGGCACAAATGTTAAGTAGAAGTGCGTATGCCGATCTCAAAAAGGTGATCACGGCATGTTTATCCTTTTTTATTGATGGAAGCCGACGTGTGTATATCTCAGACGTCTATACAGTCTCATGTGTTGAAATTTACAGAAAAATTTAGTCGAAATTCATGAGGTGAAAACGAGTTTCTCATTCTTCATTTCAAGAAGAAAAGGAGAGAGAAAGGTTCAAGGACAGGTCCTGCGCTTTATGTGAAGGGAGTGTGTTAAACTGGAGAAAAACTACCTTGTATCCACTTTCAACAACTCTGCCTGTCATATTTCTACCCCCTTATCCAAATCTACATGTCCTGATGGTTATACGTGTGTTTGAGGCAAGGGAGTTTAAGTCCTGTTCGTCGGAGATTGTAGGGATTATGTCGTTATCACTTGCGGTCATATACTGCTGTAGTACTTCACATTGACCTGAATAAAGACTTTTTCCGAAGATCTGTTTTTTGGTCTTATCTACCCGACTTGCGAATTAGGAGTTTATACCACCTTTTCTATCTGGATTCTATTTCGAAATTGTGGTTGCTTACGCTTTGTTTGTTCTGTTTGCTTCGAGTTGGAGATGTCTCGGTCTGTCTTGTTTGGCCTATTTCAACGAAACGTCGTTGTCCCTTTATCATATCACAGCATATTGATTGCTGTGATAAGAAACACACGTGCTTTTTCAAAGCCTAGCGGACGTATGAGATGTCATCCTGATATGAATTGCCTACGCACGGTGTTGCATTCTAATAATTGTCATATGCTCTTCTCATTTATTCACATATTAAAATATTTCATATATGATGAGACCGTTCTAGTAACGAAATGTGTTCCTAATTATCTTGTTGTTTATGTCATTTCTACTATTATTACCTAATTAGTGTTTTCATAGAATGGCGGATGAACCAGGGAAGGACGGCTCCTCATCCAATACAACACGAACGCGAAAAGTTCGTCCTGAAATTCAGATATACCGACCAGGTAGGATCAGTTGTTACTTTTTCTTTTTTAGTGTTTCGTTTCATTTGTATTCGACCAGACAGAAAGGTACAATAGCTTATAATGGTTCATTCACTTCATATGTTTGCCAAGTATGGCCTTCCTATTGACTTTTTTTATCGAATAGAGAATAAAATAATACTATGTTTATAATGGTTCAGGCACTATATATGTGTGCAGAGTGTGGCCGTCATTGCCTGTTGGAATTTTGGCACTATTCAACTATTACAACCCCAAAATCTCAAATTTTATTTTTCGTCGAAACTTCCTCTATAGGGGTAATTCGGTGCCCTGATTACGAAAATGACATTCATTTTTGGCGGTGGCGCCATCTGGCGCCAGTTGGCGCCACCTTGTCACGACACATGTTTTCACCAAATTCGGTGTAAAGTTCTGTATAGGGGTTATTTGATGTCCTGATTACGAATATGACATTCGTTTTTGACATTACCGCTGTTTACCGCATACTTCCCGCTTTTCTGGGCTCTCTCACCTATACATAGCGCCTTGGGACTAAGCTTAGGGGATAGGGAGACTCGGAATGAGTGAATCAGGCACCGTGTGACGAAGATGGAGCGTGTGAGATCACAGGGTGGTAGGGGCTCACTCACTGATATCTTTCCTCTCTCCTAAAGCTTAGTCCTGATCGCGATCTAGTCACTAGGAGGGAGCAGGAGCGCGCAGACGAAGAGAGTAAAGCGCTAGCGTCAAGAATGTGTCATATTCGTAATCTGGACACCAAATTACCCCTACCCAGAAGTTTACATCGAGTTTGGTGAAAACAACTGTCGTGACAAGGTGACGCCACCTGGCGCCAGATGGCGCCCCCGTTGAAAATGAATGTCATTTTCGTAATCAGGGCACCGAATTACCCCTATAGACAAAGTTTCGACGAAAAATAAAATTTTGAGATTTTGGGGTTTGTAATAGTTGAATAGTGCCGAATTTTTCTCGAATAGCAATGAGTACTTTAGATAGTTTTGTGAATTAGGGCGTCATTTGTGATGTGGTTTCGAATATGTTCGTAACTGGTTAGATTTTATTCTCGTCATGTGATTGATAGCACTCTATACGCACGACATTGCTGGTGTTGCGTCTTTTGATGTTTCAAATGGCTCGTTGCTGACAATTAGCTTTGTGAGGGCAGTACTTATACATCGCTTTAGGCGCGTCGAAACACACAGCAGCCTTCGACCTATGTCTCAATCTGAACCTGAAGCGCTGTAACCCTCATAGTGGACTAGGAAGGGCGATATGCAAATGCCTACACTATAAATTGAATAATATTTGGAGGAGTCAGACTAGGAAAAAAATTACACCCTTTTATTTTTAGCCTTCCACTCCCTTCGTTAGGTAAATGAGTAATTTATCGCCACCATTGGGTCGCAGCTCACTCATTGTTCTCTTTGGA